GAGGACGGCCCTGAGCATTGGGACCCTGCACCTGTGTGGGAGACTTGGAGGAAGTTCCTGGCTCCTGGCTTTGGATCAGCACAGCACCAGCCATTGCGCTCACTTGGGGAGTGAATCATCGGACGGAAGATCTTCCTCTCAGTCTCTCCTCCTCTCTGTACATCTGCCTTTCCAATAAAAATAAATAAATCTTAAAAAAAAAATGAAATATTCTGTTAAGGAAATCACTTAATGGTGAATTAACTTTTCTTTCTGTTTTAAGGCATTTTCTCATTTGCCCAAAAGAAATTGAATAGATTTGTGTGTTAACTGTGTTAATTGTGTTCGAGATAATAATGACCTAACTTGCCCATTTAGTAGTTTTGATGGACTTCAATTAAAAAAAGCTTAAGACGCACTCCTCTTTTGAGATGATGTTTTAATGTTATCTTTTAACATGCTGTCACAATTTTGTGTAATACATTTATGTGTACAATTATAAATATTGCTCTAGTTTGAGACTCAAAGAAGTTGTTAATGTTTTTCATAGAATAATCTGAATTAATTTATATCCCTCATTTTTGACAGTATCAAGGACTGTATATTCTTACATTTGATCTTACTTATATTGAATAAAAATACATCTACGATAAATTGCCCAATTGGACATAAAAACTTTATGTAGTCATCATTGACACATGTTCCCATGCAAGTAGAGGCATCAGTTTATTGCTATCACCCGTTGGGTTCTTTATGTTCGTCCTTGTTTTGTGAACAGATTTTCAGTTGCTATAAAATACTGTGTAAAGTCAAACTGTTACCTTGGGACGTTTGAATGCCAGAATGTTGGTGTAACAAGGCTAGTGTCTACACAGCTAATCTGATTTAAAGAGTACTGTATCTTCTTTCTTTGTTTTTTTCTTACTACTCCATTGCATGTAGAATTCTTTGATCGTTTGTAATAACTATATATGATAGAAAGAAACAAGAGCATTATTACCAAGAACAATAACAGGTTTGAAAATGAACTCTAAAATGTTTGTATGCCAATTTTAAATCATATAAATCCATAGGTGGCATGGTTGATATTCTGTGGATTTCCTTAAGGGAATCATTGGTCATGATCAGTAATTTTTCAAAGTTTAAGCTGCTGATTTGCTTCAGCAAAGGATATTTCATGTACAATTCCAAGATTAAAATAGGAGAAACATTTGTAGGGCTCAGGGGGAAGTAGCATAGGATGTTTCTTCCAGTCTGGACCTTAACTCACTTGACCATTCCTGCCATCCTTTCTCTGGATCCGACTCCTTTCTCTTGTAGTATCACTGGGATACAGTTTGAAAAGCACAGATGTTGGTCCATCCTTTTTGTCTTTATGGGCCTTTTTAAGAACTAAATATTTCGTGAGTTTTTGCATCTCTTTCCCTTCTCTTCTCCCCTCCCCTCCCCCTCTTCCTAAATCCTCGGGTAGGTTTGTATACAAATACATGATTCTGGAAAAGTAGCAGCAGTGGTATAATTTTCCTTTGTTTAATACAGATGATGTCCTTATTATTTAAATTCAGAACTAAAAAAAACTGTGGCATACACTTCTGCTTGAGTGCTGCCAGTGGCCTAGATTGTAGACTCTATGCCTTGCAGTCTAGGCCTTGCAAGTAAGCTGTTAGAGCAGAAATGCCAATCATTTAACGTGATCCGTGGTTGAAGTGCTGAAACATCAAATGCATCAGGATGTTAATGTTTTGTGGTTTTGTTTGAGGAGATAGAAGGATAGTCATTCAGACAAGAAAATTATTTGGATACATACTGTTATTTATTAAATAGTATTGAATAGCTATTTTATTGTGAATGTTGTCCTAATTATGTTTCTCATTTAATCTTCAAAGTCCTTCTGTAGCACATTTAAAAATGAGAACGTTAATTCTTGGGCTGTGAAGACATGCTAAGGGTTATTGTGTATAATGCATCCATTATACAGTAAATTTGTTTCTTCAGACACCCAAGCTGCTTGTGTTTTGAGGCAATTGTGCGTGCATATGGACAGAATGTCCCAGGTGTGTCCCTGTAGATAGGCTTTGAGATGACAGTAGTCACAGGCCAGCACTGCATAGTAGGATGCTGACAGGCGTGATCCAGATTAAGGGCCACAGGAAGGGACAAAAGTTGTGCATATAATAGAGACATTTGCTTTCTAGGCTAGTGTAAGTGTATCTAGATTTCCTGTTCACATATTTTACTTTATTCAGTTTTCAGTATTTTATTACCAGTTTTTTCCACCTTTCTACCCATGCGTTAAGAGTCAAAAAATTAGTATTAATTCTAGCATTCTTTTCCGATTCCTTCCTCAGATTATTTGAAGGAGATAAACTTGTTTTCTGTAATCAGAATGCAGTTTGATTTTTTTGTTTATTTGTCAGAACAAACTTTTACCTATAGGCCTATCCTACTTCCTCAGGCTGAGGAATGTGGTGTTGGTGAAAAACAAAGTAAGCCTTACATATCTGAAGCATGTATCAAGAGAAGTATTGAATGAGTTACCCCAGCAAGTTTGAGATGTGTATATGCGCTATGCCTTCCCAGCCTTCCCTTGGAATAACGAAGCCATGTTAGCATTTCATCACTTCCGAGAAACTTTGTACCAGTTGAACTAACCCATGGTGTCCGTTTAGAATATTTCATTTCCTGTCATTTTTTTTCCCGGCTTTTAAAAATACTGTGTTTTCAGTGTCACTTTTAGGATGTTAATATTTTTTGATTTTGTTTAATTGGTTGGATATAGAGTCAGGAACTTATCTGGGGCTCCATGCAAGTAGCAGTAGCCCCTTTACCTCTGCCTCCCAGATCTGCAGAGCCAGCAGGCTAGTCAGGAACAGAAGCTGCTGGGTTAGTATCCACCCACATTCTAACACCTGACCTGCGCGTGCCAACGCTGAACTCAGGCCCCACCCCTACCCCAGTGGTGTTTTATTGCTGGGAAAATAGGTTGGTTATTTACCTTGAACTTGGTGATTTTGCCGTAGAAACTAGACTAATGAACTGGCACCTTGGCGTATCAGCCAGCTTCCTAGGTAGATCGGTAGGTAGATGTTCTTTAAGGTCCCTGATTTGTGAAGTCAAAGTGAATAGACAGTTTGTTGGACATGATGAGATTGTTAAACAATTTTTTAAAATTGATTCACTTAATAGTGATAGTATGTTGCACAGGAAGGAAAAAAAGGAACATTTTGAATGGTTTGGATATAAATTCTGGCTCTACCACACTAGTGTTAACCTTAATTGAACTTTTAGTCATTCGCGTATTTGTCAATAACTATATAATCGACATAGAAGTGAAGAATGATTTGGGGAAAAGATAAAGCACTTAATTCAAAGAATTCAGACTAGCAACCTTCAGTACTTTTCTGAATTGGTTAATTTGTTGACAGATAGAGGTAAAAGACTTCAAACGTTAGTGGCTGGCACTGTGGCATAGCGAGTAAAGCTGCTGCTTCCCATGTGAGCATACCTTATGGGCGCTGGTTTGAGTCGCATCTGCTCCACTTCCAAACCAGCTCCCTGCTAATGTGGATGATTCAAGCGCTTGAAACCCATCACCCATGGGAGACCCACAAGAAACTCCTGGCTCCTGGCTTCAGACTGGCCCGGGTCTGGCCTTTGCAGCTGACTGGGGAGTGAATCAGAATACTTATTCATTCCTTATGGACAAATAAATATTTTTCAAAAAAGATTACAGTTGCCTAAAGTAATTCATTCAGATTCTCACCAGGACACCTATTAAGTTCAGAAATTGTTCTTCCTGTAGCACTAAGCTCAGTACCAGTGCCTTGCGCTTTTGCAGATTTTGACTCAGCAACCTATTTTTTCAGACTTCACAAAAATACTTGGTGCCTATTTAAGGAACAAACCCCTGAGTTTAGGGCAAGGGTCTCTAGACTTCCTGTCAGGGTACACATGAGTGTCTTGTACTGTGTGACTGTGCCCTTGTAGAAAAGCAGCTCTGGAGAGTACGTGAATGAGTGTCTGTTCCAACAGAGCTTTAATTATATAGACCATGAGATCTGCATTCCTTTTAATTCTTACATCACAAAATATTGCTGTTCTGTTGTGAATTTTTAGAATTTTAATCATTTAAAAATATGTTAAAGTTATGCTGCAGATCATATATTTTATGAATACAAGTGGGCAGAAAAAAATGGACCCACGCACCATAGTTTCTGACCTCTTTGATCTAGGGCATAATGCATTAATTTGCTATAACTGATACTGGATAATAATTGTAGGACACTTAGGTAAATGGGCCTCTTAGCAGAGATTGTATTTATCAGAGTTCATATCCTACCTGTTTTTTTCTCATTTGGGTTTACCATTTTAAACTAAATATGGTTGGGTATTAGGACATAGTAAGAAAAACAAAAGGTGAACTTCTTACCTCTGCCCCAGTTAAGAATTTGAAGGCATCATGGAAAAGTTTGATTACTCTCAGATTTATCATCCAACTTAAGTAAAATTATATAAATGTAGATTTCTTTTTTTTTTCTTTAAAGATTTATTTATTTATTGGAAAGTCAGATATACAGAGAGGAGGAGAGACAGAGAGGAAGATCTTCCGTCCGATGATTCACTCCCCAAGTGAGCGCAATGGCCGGTGCTGCACCGATCCAAAGCCAGGAGCCAGGAACTTCTTCCAGGTCTCCCACACAGGTGCAGGGTCCCAAAGCTTTGGGCCATCCTCGACTGCTTTCCCAGGCCACAAGCAGGGAGCTGGATGGGAAGTGGAGCTGGGCCCGATAAATGTAGATTTCCAAAAAAAAAAAAAAAATAGGTTCAAGATCTTCTGTACTTGGGGTTTTTTGAATGTACACAGTAAGAAATTTTAAATGTTGTATATAAATAAACAAATATTTATGTCCTATAAGCACTGTTGAACACTCTTTGGCTCTGAAAAGTAAAGTCGTTTTTATGCTGGTTACATTAATTTTGCATTACAAAAGTGTAATTTAAATTATGTTAATTTTCCGTAGACACCAGAGAAGAAACAATCAGAATCATCTAGGGGAAGAAAGAGGAAAGCAGAAAACCAGAGTGAAAGTAGTCAGGGTAAGTGAAACCGCATCTTCCTTTGGAGTTGGTAGACATTTACAAATTCTTTCTCTTTCTCCTTTTTCCCTTCCTCTCTCCCTCCTACCTACCTTCTTTCCTTCCTATTTTCTTTCCTTCCTACCTGCCTTCCAGTAAATATTCTAATTGTAAAGTAAGTGATTTAATGTCTCTCTGAATGTATAGCTATTATGCAGATTCTGCATTGATAATAGTTTAGGCATGACAAGTAGTGATGTGAAATTAGTCCTTTTGTGCCACAGGGAGTTATCTAATGCTCATTATATTGAGATGTCTGGATTTTTTTTTTTAATGTGAGTCCAAGAAATACAAGTATGATGTCCAGATCTTGCAAACATCTTACTGTGTTTCACTCCTCTTTATTTAAATTCTGGTAATAAAAAGTTATAAATCTCACATTAGAACAAATACCCAAGCTTACTTTTCATTTCTTTTAAAGGCTGTATAGACGTAATTGAGAATCTGTCATTGAAATGGCGTCTTCTCCCTCTCCTTACCTGTTTTTCATACTTTTACATCAACCTTTTATGATATATTAAGTAACGGAAATTATTCTCCTTGAACTATAAAATCTCTTGTCTTAGGGAGCAACATAGTAATAATATTTAATTTGAATCTCAAAATCAAGTATAAAGCTTTTAAATCATGATAATTTCATATGCATAAGATGGAACCTATCTTTGGCCTTACGACTATGAGCCCATGGCTCATGAGTTTATATATGGCTCTGAGTTCAAGGAATAAATGTGCAAGAAATATCTTTGTGAGAAAGGTAATTTATAAAAATTTCTGTAGGTTCACAGTACATTATGCTTCACTTTGAGTTCATTTTTTGTCTTATTGCAGTTTCTCTTAGTGTAGTAAGTGTAATCCGTGAATTTGAATCTCTTGTGTATTGTAAAGATACATTAATTACAGGCATTTCTACTTCAGATTAAACAAATTCAAAAATCAATGCCCAAACAAGTTGAGGCTTTTCTAGATTGGTTGACCCAACTTGTCTTTAAGAATCTGTTTTTCTTTGTGTTCTGTTGTTTACAGACTTTTCTTGATTTTTTTCTTGTTTTTGCTTTTGAGATTGTTGCCTAAATTAGATTTACTTATGCTATCATCTTCACTCTCACTTGCTTCAGATAATAGTTTTCTGTGTCTTCCCTCTCCATCGCATTTTCTTTTAGAATGATCTCTTCATGTCATCGTATTAACATTGTTTCCATGCCAAAATGAGTGATATCAGCAGAGGGACTAAAAATCAAGTGCATCTCTAAAGTTAAAAATGGGTTAAAATTCTCCTTGTAAATAGGGACTATGTGAAGAATGGATGGTATCAGAAAACAACTGTGTTTGTGAAGAGAGAAGGGGAATTCAAAATGGGGGCCCTATAGATGTCAGCTTCCCCTACAGTTAATGCAGGGGCAGAGAATAAGATTAACAGAATCCGAGTTCGCTCAAGGAAAAAAGTGGGGAAATGGCAAGCAAAACCAGTTCTTTCTTCACTAACAAATAGTATCTCTTTAGAGTATGATGGAAAGTTACAGACAGAAGGATAGTACTTAAAAAAAAGTATTTGTTTGATTTGAAAGTCATATTTAGAAAGAGAGGAGAATGAATGAGAGTGTCTTCCTTCTGTTGCTTGACTCCCCAGATGACCACAGGTTGGGCCTGTGGTCAGGCTGGGCCAGGCCAGATCCAGGAGCCAGGAGGTGCATCTGGGTCTCCTGTGTGGGTAGCGGGGAAACAGGTCATTGAGCTGTCTTCCTGCTGCTTTGCCCAGGCAGTTAACATGGATCTGAATCGCAAGTGCAACAGCCAGGGTACAAACCAGCACCTTCATGGAAAGCTGTCATCCCAGGCTGTTTCACCTGATGCCAACCCTGGGAATTTAACAAACTTACAATCCTATCTGACCTCAAATTAATCTCTATAAAACTTTATTTCAAAATTTCTGAGATATACATATATCTCACATATATGTGTGTATGTGTATGTATATACATATTCATTTACACATATTCATATATTCATATATAATATTTGTATAATATAAACATATATTATATTTTATAAAATATATTTTCTATAATATATAAATATATGAATAAGACTATATAATATAGTCTTTAGTACTCATTTGGATCTGTAAATATTCCCTTATGTATTCCAAGAAGGAATTTGTATTCATTGAGCTTTTGAGTATATTATTTATTCCTTTCAGTCATACCTGACACCTAATAACAACTTAAGAAGTATTTGTTGCACGAAACAATGAATGCACAAATATAAATCTACTGAATTGGTAGATGTGTATGAGAGTCTTAAGCCATTTAGAGAACTTTCATGGAAAATTCATGTTAAATAAATTATGCAGAGATTTCAGAACATTTTTTTGCAGCGAGGTAAACTGACATGTTATAGCATGTGTGACCAGGACCTGGTCTGAGGTGCTAAGATTCTAAGGTATCAGTTTGAATGGAAAATATATCAGAGCAGCATGAATTCTGCTAAAGTACGCATAAACATCAAGTTTTGTGTGAAACTTGAGTAGAGAAGTGGTGAAATCATTGCAGCTTTACAAAAAAAAAAAAAATTATGGAGGCAACATGCCAAAGAAATCAGCAGTTTACAATGGATTTTAAAACACTCAGAATGGAGGACTGTCCACATCCATTTGCAAGGACAAAATTATTCTTATCTGTACGCTAAAGGAAGAGTATTGATGATTAACAGCAAAAGCAGTAATCAATAGCATAGACATGTCAATTGGTTTAGCTTATGCCATTTGGAATGAAAAATGAAGAGGAGCAGAATTCCTGCTCGATAGTAGTTGCCTAAACTGTTCCACGGAGATCAGCCACCAGAGAAAAGCATTCTCAGTGGGAATTTGCAACAAGCGAGATCAAGATCCTGAAGCATCTCTTCACAGAAGTGCACTAGGAGGTGAAAGATGGTGTTACCAGTACAATCCTGAAGACCAAGCTCAGTCAAAACAATGGCTACTCAGTGGTCAGGTGATCAAAGCAAGTGCCTGTCAGGCAAGCACAAAGGTCAAGACAACAGGTTTTTGGGATGCTTTTAGTATTTTGATTGTTGACTTTGTTTTGGCCCACAAAAACAAGGCTGTTAGGAGAGTGAGAAAGGCAGCCCTGGCTGCAGCAGGTGAATGGCCCAGAGGGGCCAGCCCTGTGATGTGATAGGTAAAGCCATTGCCTGCAGTGTTGGCATCTCATGAGGGTGCTGGTTTGTTTCCCAGCTATTCTACTTCTGGCAGGCTCCCTGCAAATGACCTAGGAAAAGCAGTAGAAGATGCCCCAAGTGTTTGGGTCCCTGGCACCCATGAGGCAGATAAGCTCATGGCTTCTGGCTTCCAGCTTCTGCCTAGCCCAGCCCTTTGCAGCCATCTGGAGAGAATCAGTGGATAGAAGATCTTCTTTCTCTGTCTCTAACTCTTCAAAGAAAAGAGGAAAAATCCCTGGAAAGCCTCATCAGAAGCTTTCCAAAATGAAAGTGCTTCTGTTTATATGTGTCAGCAAACAAAGGCAGTTGAATGAAGAGTTTGATGGGAAATCATTAGGCATCCACTCACCCACCTTACAGACCTGTTTTGCTGCACTGATTCCTGCTGCTGCTACTACTGCCAAACTCCTCAAACCAGGAGTTTGTTACTAAAAGAAAAAAAAAAAAAAAGTCCTGTCTTCTTTCCATAGTCTTCCATAAAATTCATCTTCTGATTTCCCCAATTTCCACCAAGGTCCATTATGTTGTAGCTGCTTAGGTAAGGGCTTCCTGCAGGCCATACACCAAGGCCTTGACATGAGCATTCCAAAGCCACGATCTCTTTGGCATACAACACACATACACAGCAGGAGGTTGGCCATGTGGATGATGGTTACACATGCTTGGTTTCTCTTCGGAATGCAGTGATCCCTGTCAGTAGCAGGGTACCCTGGACACCTGCAGTGTTGACTTGGCTTAACATCTGGGTTCAGAGCCTTGGAACAAAGCATTCCCCTGGCTCTTCACCCTGACTTTTTTTTTAAAGATTATTAATTTTTATTGGAAAGGCAGATATACATAGAGAAGGAGAGACAGGGAGAAAGATCTTCCATCTGCTTTTTTATTCCCCAAGTGGCTGCAACAACCAGAGCTGAGCTGGTTCAGCAATCAGGAGCTTCTTCCAGGTCTCCCATGCGGGTGCAGGGTCCCAAGGCTTTGGGCCATGCTTATCTGTTTTCCCAGGCCACAAGCAGGGAGCTGGGTGAGAAGTGTAACAGTCGGGATTAGAACTGGTGCCCGTAAAGGATCCTGGAGGATGCAACGCAAGGACTTTAGCCACTAAGCTACCGTTCTGTGCCACTCAGCCTGGCTTTTAAACCCAGATCTTCTGGGCCCGGCGGCGTGGCTTAGCAGCTAAAGTCCTCACCTTGCACATGCTGGAATTCCATTTGGGCACTGGTTCTAATCCCGGCAGCTCCACTTCCCATCCAGCTCCCTGCTTGTGGCCTGGGAAAGCAGTCGAGGATGGCCCCGAGCACTGGGACCCTGCATCTGGTTGGGAGACCTGGAAGAAGTTCCTGGATCCTGGCTTTGGATCAGCATAGCATTGACCGTTGCGCTCACTTGGGGAGTGAATCATCGGACGGAAGATCTTCCTCTCAGTCTCTCCTCCTCTCTGTATTTTTGACTTTGTAATAAAAATAAATAAATCTTAAAAAAAAAAAAAAAAACAAGATCTTCTGAGTTGGGACCTGTAGACCATGGCTACAGCTTCTGGTAGTTCAGCACCCCTCAGGAGCACAGTGGAAGTTACAGTTTCCTGGCCCCACAACTGGCTCTCCTGAATTCTTTTTGTCTTCTAATCTTAATACATTCATTTTTCTTCATTTTGTAAGGTAAAAAAGATTTCATTGGTATAGTTAGATTCCAGGACCATTATTTCTTTAGGGATGGACTAAAGCTGGTATCTTTGTTTGCAAAAATATTTTTAATTTGCTAGAGCTTCTGTAGGAAGAAAACTTGTATTTTTAATTTTTATCTTTTAATTCTGTTTTCTCATGCCTCTTAAAGTCCCCTTTATGTGCTTGTTATGCAAAGCTTCTGACTCCATGGTATCATTAGGGCTTTTTTTTTGACTGTAACATGAGAAAGGCATGTGTTCTATATAATTTCAGCCAAGGATGGATTCCTACCCTCCTCCCCAAAACAGTCTCTAAATACTTTGTGTCAGCAAGTCCTTAATTCAGTATTTATAAAGCTGAGGAGTCCATTATTGAGGAAGATGCTCAAAGAACAGTAAGATCTGCAATGACTTGGTTCATTATATAAGAACAACAGTATTTAAAATACTCTTGAATTCTTTTTTAGAAAGTAAAACATTTTCTAAATGTTTTTAGATTCATAAATGCTTTTTTTAGAAAATAAAACATTTGATAAAATTTATAGTTAAGCATGTTGTTATCTTTTTGTTATTGTGTTGTTTTGTATTAATCACAGCATTTTAATTATTTGCACGTATTAACATTGTAGTTATATAAAATCTACATTTCTTTTGTCTATTGACTTGTTTTTCTTTAATTAGCTACTAAAAATATTAATAATGTATTTTTTTAAAATAAGAGATCCCTTACCATTATTTATTTATATTATGCTCTAATAATTGGGACCTGTTAAATTTGGTATGTTTGAAATGTTATTTAAATTTTAGTTTTTTGGAATTTTTAAATCTGATACCCATTAATTACTGCCATATTGAAATATAGTTTTCTTGTGTATATTACGGAAGTTATATTTTGTATCTTCCCTCTATCTGTTAAAGTATACAGTTTGTCCTCATGATTAACTTGTTTTATTATTTTTTTTCTTGACATTTTAGGAAAAATTATTGGGGGACGTGGCCACAAAATTAGCGACTATTTTGAAGTAAGTTCCTTGAGGTTTATTTCCAGTTCCTAATTCAGCAGAATTCCGCTGTGACCTGAGAATGCTTCCTTTTAAGTACCAGCTCAGGGCTGATCTGATCAGGGCTTTCATTCGTATGAATGATATCCTTTATTCCTGGGAACGTTACAGTTGGCTTTTATGTTGATATTGTGTCATAATTGTGAAAGTTCTTTGTCCTATATCTTGTAGGTATATCTTTGGTAGTGTTTTTGTTTTAAAGACCTTGAATCTTAGAATCAGTTATATCTAAAGTAACCTACTAAAGGTAGACTTTAAATGCAAGAACAAAGAGTAGACCTTGAAGTTGCTGATCTCTTGTAAGAATACAGGCTTTATCACACTGTAGCTGTATGTGAGCTCTATGGCTGAAGGCACAATGATTGGTAGAAATGTGTAGCAATTAAGAATAGTAAATGTGCACTCTTGCCCTTTCTGTAATGCTTCCCTGCTTCCACATAGAAACAGAGCTGCCAGTTTTAAATTAGAAAACATTGATGTGACTGTTAAAACAGCAAATATGTGGGCTGGCGTTGTGGTGTAGTGGGTTAAGCCATTACCTGCAATACCAGTATCCCATATGGGCACTGGTTTGAGCCCTGGCTGCTGCTCTTCCTTCCTGCAGCCTGTTGATGTACCTGGGAAAACAGTTAAAGACAGCCCAAAATTTTTGGCCACTATACCCAGATAAGAGACCCGGTGAAGCTCCCTCCGCCTGGCTCAGGCCCTGACCTTTGCAGCCATTTGGGACATGAACACTTGATGGAAGATCTCTCCCTTTCTGTCTGCATTTCCTCTCTGTGTTAGCTCTACTTTTTCATTTTTATTTATTTATTTTTTAAGGACACATTCATTTTACTTGGAAGTTGGAGTTATAGAGAGAAAGGGAGAAACAGAGAGAGCTTCCATCAGCTGGTTCACTCCCCAAATGGCTGCAAGGCCAGAGCTGACTGGGCAAGTTTGAAGCTGGGAAACAGCATCTTCCAGGTTTCCCATGTGGATACAGAAGGCCAAGGACTTGGGCCGTCCTCTAGTGCTTTCCCAGATCATTAGCAGCAGTCATTAGCAGCAATTTGCCTCTTGGTATAGAAGCACTGGGTAAGAAAATAACTAGCCATGAGGCAAATCAATTGGCTTCTCTTTATATGAAATTGTGTTGGAAAAAATAATTTTAAAAAATTTAGGTTTTGTACTGTTAAAGGGAAGAGACTTATTTGGTTTTGTTTGTATTTATTTGAGGGACAGACTTCCCATCTCTTGGTTCGGCCTCCTAAGTGTCCACAAATGCCAAAGGCTGTGTTGGATCTGGTGCTAGGTTCCGGAACTTAATCTCGGTCTCTGACATGCATGAAGGGGACCCAGCTACCTGAGTCATTACTATTGCTTCCCAGAATCTACATTGGTAGGAAGCTGGAGTCAGGACCTAGAGCTACAATCAGTCCAGGCACTCCAAAATGGAATGTAGGCATCTGGACCACTTAGCCAATATATGATGTAGGGAGAAGAGTTTCTCCCACAGTTCATACAGTATCGTGAAATTTTGGATTCTAGCATTTTAACAGTGATGATTCTGTTTCTAAGGCATCTCTACATGCAAGCATTTTTAATTTTCTTGGGATTAAGGGCCATATTTTTTATATTTTGGCAATCTTTACATTGCTGATAAGGGTAAAAAGTTACAAGGGCTAAAGGGAATATTGAGGAGAAGCCCCACCCAGTCCCCTACACACCCCAGGTCCTGGATGTAGGGCATGCTCTGAGATCCTTGCTCAAGTGGTCCTGGTAGTTCACCAGTTATGCATTGCTGCCAGTCTCGCCACTCCAGACACGATGAGACTGTTTAATAATCTACTGATTGACATAGTCCATCATGGAGTCTCCTTTTGTCCAGTGTTTCGCAGCCAACATATAGCTGTGGTGGTTGATTGACCTATCCTATCTTCTGTCTTTTCTTGGTTAAGGTTCTGAGTCTGCCATTTTGGTTGAGTGGGTCCCCAAAGAGACTTTGAGATGTTCCCAAACCAGATTCCTATATGTACTCTCAAGTACAGGGCCTGGCACAGTCCATCTCTCTGATCAACTGGTGGTTGCAATTGCTGGGTTGGTTCCGTCTTCTGTCCCGACTTCCACTGGAACCAATGGGTGTTACAGTCTATCCTGGTTCTGGTCATCACATACTCGGCCATCACATAAACCAGTGGGAGCTGCAGCCTAGTCAGAGCGACTCAGAATAACCCCCACCAGGCCTGCCCCTGCTCTGGTTTGCCAGTATGTGTAGCGGACTAGTCCAGTCTGTCCCATATCCCATTTGGCTCTCGTAAATGTCGAAGGGTATTGGAGCTTAGTTCCATCGAACCAGCTCAACTGTCAGGCCCTCTCGGATGTTGTTGAGTGCCTCTCTGTCTAGCCACCCCAGCCCCTGTCCTAGTTGTTTTGTGCCCTTGCATGTGAATGGTAGCCCAAGAGGAATGAGCCCCCTACTTCCCTCCCCGGGTCACTCTCACTCCCGAACTATGCACTCTCCAGGTGACCCTGTGGCTGGACTTGAGGGTATCAGCCCTTAGTGCCAGCTTCTGCTACGGTTAAGCCCCGAGAGCTCTCATCCCCTCTAGTTTTGTTAGTACTAGTAGGAATAGTCCGCCCATCCTGGCACTTCCCTGATCTAATCCACATGAGGCGCACAGGTGTTGCAGCCCTGCCTAGTCTGGTCTATCCCCATTCTAGCTCATGTCTCCAGTGGGAGCAGCTATCCAGCAAGGACACTACCCCTTATTCCCCTGTCGGCTCTGCCCCTCCCTCCTGATTCTCACGTTTTGATGGTTGGGTGCTGCGGTCTCCTCTGACACAGGCAGCCTCACCTCGGCATTCTGAGTTGTGTACTGCTCCCGCCTTGACCAAACCCGGCCTGACCCACACTCTGCTCCGGTATTCATATTTGCCAGTGGATGACGTGAACTGATTCAGCCTAGTCTGTCCCCAACCCATGCCAAATGCATGCCAGTGGGACAATTTCCATAACCTCTTCTGGGCTGTTTCCTTCCATGTTTCTTGCGTTTATTGGCAGGATCCGTGTCCTGTCAGAGGAGTTGCTCAGGCTCCTCCCTCAGAGCCCCTCCTGTTGCCAGGTTTTGTGCTTGCCAGTGGGTCCATGGGCCAGCACTACTCAGTTCACCTCCTGTCCTAGCAGAAGCAGTCGCTTTTCTTAACTGGCCTTCAACCCATTCTGGTTCTTGCTGTTGGATGTTTCAGCCCAGCCACAGCTCGTCCATACCCACATATAGCATATACATGGCTCAGTTGGGGTTGAGACCTAGCCTAGTCCGTCCCACATCTACCCCGGTCCTCCAGAACAGCAGAAGGTGTTGCAGTCTGACCCGGCCCGGTGTGCCAAGTCCCAGGCCACACTTGTGCCAAGGGAGGCTACAGCTGTGTCCCGATCAGAACACAGCCCCTTCCAGCCTGTATGCCCCTTGGTGGGGACCTCCACACAGCCAGCGTCTCCCCCCAACTAAGGACCATGTTTTAAATATGGCCCTTAAGATTTGAGGAAAAGCAAAACATGTTCACTGTTTTTTGTGGTAGAATTTGTTTGAGTCGGTCAGAAGGTCAGAAAGGAAAGAGATAATCTTCATAAAGTGAGACGGGGCGGTAAGTAGGCACTTAATGTTAACAGTGAAGACACCTCTGGGAGTACCCGCGTCCCATGTCAGGGTGCCTTTGAGTCCTGGTTGCTTGGCTTCTCATCCAGTTTCCTGTTCATGTGCACCCTGGGAGGCAGCAGATGGATTCCTACCAGCTGTATGGGAGGCCCTGGTGGGTTGCTAGGTTCTACTGACTATTGCAGGCATTTGGAGAATGAGCAGGAAATGGGAGATGCTTATATGAGTCTGTTTCCCCACCAACCTACACAAAAACACACAAAATAAAGTTTTGAGGTATAATCTTGTCATGTTTAAATATCAGGAGTCTAATAATCCATATGGGACTTGGCCGTAAGTGACCTCTATATTAGTTTTCATATGGCCATTTAAAATAACTTGACTTAGTTTAAAATATGTATGTGTGAATTCTTATTGGTGTGTCTCAAATAACAACAGTGATCTAATTCTTTTTTGTAATAATGTTTCTTTATCCTTTTTCTCAGTACCAAGGTGGGAATGGCTCCAGTCCAGTAAGAGGCATACCTCCTGCAATCCGTTCTCCTCAAAATTCACATTCACATTCCACTCCTTCCTCATCTGTAAGTTGATGTTTTACGAGTTTTCTGTGCACACTTTGTATAGATTATGTACATTGAATATCTTTTATTATTTGAATTGAAAACTTTAAAAAATGTTTCTGTGAGATGAGTTAAATCCTTTTTACTGAACTGATCTTATCAGAACTTTATTTTCAAAAGTGAGCTTCTTAGAGATTTCTCAAATTAATGGTATCCAAGAAATACTGTTTGTAAAAGAATGCTATTCCACCCTCCATCCTGTGCAGGTAGGGGTCATCCTGATTTGCTGCTGTGACTGGCCTGACTGGGATGAGCCATGCATCCTTGGACCTGGCAGTTGTCCACTGGTGTTGCTGCCTGTGTCCCCTGTTTGTCCCAGAGGCAGTCACCTGAACTTTCCAGGAATCCCTGTGTTATTACAGTTGCTCTTGATCCTGCTGATTGCCTTTAGCATCAGAAGGCAGCCCATGGTTTCATGTTTGGTTGGCCTTGGATCCTTCGGGATCTTTGATTTCCTGGAGTGGAACCCATAGCTGTGTGCCCTGACCTCAGCACAGGCATTGCATATTGGATACAGCCTTGGTAGACACTCATTCAAATGAAAGAAATCTATTAAGCACATGTAAAAGAGAAGTCTGCCTACTTTAGTTGAAGATCTCATAAACCTCTTCAGTCAGCAAAAAGAATGCAGTAACTTCTCAAGAGTAATGAAGATGATGAGGGGGACACAGCCTTTGGCACTGACAGGAAACCCTCCAGCTTGTGATGTGGATTCATTAGATGAGATAGGGAAAGATTTCTGAGATCAGGATAGGAAAGGCTTTGTGTCCCCAGTCAGCAGAAAGTAGCTACTGAAGACATGATCTATCTGTATCCTTGAGCAAGCTTTAAGATTAGAAATTCCTGAGTGGGGAATGAAGTAGGACATGTAGGTAGCTAGCTTAGAGTCATAAGTGGAAGCCACACCTCCTCCCACACTGTGCAATCCTGTCTGCCTACCTGTTAACTAAATGGCCCACTTCCCCAGGACGCACTTCCCCTCACCAGGGATCTATGGGTGGTATTAGGGGTGCTCTCTTTCTCTCTTCCTGTGGACAGAATGTTTCTGCCATCTGTGCAACGTGAAGTCAAACCAGAATATGTTGGCGTAACAGGCCAGTCTAACCCGTTTGTCTAGATCCAGAACCTCTGTGCCACCAATCTGCATCAAAGATGAGCTGCACCTGATGTAGTGGCTCAGCTCTGCATACTTGCCCTAGCTCCCTGCTCGTGGCCTGGGAAAGGCCACAGAAGATGGCCCCAAGTGCACGGGCCCCTGCCACCCATGTGGGAGGCCTGAATGAAGTTCCTGACTTCAACTTGGTCCTCCCTGCCATTGTGGGCCATCTGTAGAGTGAATTACTCAATGAAAGATCCATTTCCCCCAACCCATGCTCCACTCCCACCTGACTCTTTTGAATAAATAAATCATTTAAAAACTGCTACTGAGCCTGTAGAAATAAGATGAATACTCTCAATTTAGGTACTAATTCCTTTCTAGTTGTCATTTCTTAACAGCTAACATGATGGTGTAGGGCTGGGCGTTGTGGTCCAGTGGGTTTTGCTATTGCTGAGGATTCAGTCTGGTTTGCACTCCAGTGCAGCTTTTTGCTGTGATGCCTAGGAAGTAGCAGGATGGCCCAAGTACTTTGATTCTTGCCACCTGCGTGGGAAATCCAGCTTGAGTTCCTGATTCCTACTTGGAAACTGTGGCTTTTGGGAGCATCCAGAGAGTGATCAAGTTAGATGAAAGATCTCTCCCACTTTCTCTTGTCATTCTGCCTTTAAAATGAATATGTTGGGGCCTGGCGTGATAGTGTAGTAGTTAAAGACCTCACCTTGCACGCGCCGGGATCCCATATGGATGCTGGTTCTAATCCCGGCAGCCCTGCTTCCCATTCAGCTCACTGCTTGTGGCCTGGGAAAGCAGTCGAGGACAGTCCAAAGCCTTGGGACCCTGCACCCACGTGGGAAACCCGGAAGAGCTCCTGGCTCCCGGCTTTGGATTGACTTAGCTCCAGCCATTGCGGCCGCTTGGGGAGTGAACCATAAGATGGAAGATCTTCCTCTCTGTATAGCCTATAGCCACCTTTTCAGTAAAAATAAATAAATCTTTAAAAAATAAATTAAAAAAAATTAAATAAATATGCTGAATTTTAAAAATAATATTTCTTTCTAAAAATCCTTTTTAAAAAAGGTAGACAATTTAGAATGATTAATTTGCACCTTTTGTTGTGTTTCTCTAAAGTGTATGAGAAACTTTTTTATGCATTGTTTTGCACATTTTTAGTTTTTGTTTTTGAAAGGTCTTGTTTTCATTGTATAAAGCATGACATCTAACCAAAAAATTTGGGTTGCAGTTATTAAAATCAGAATTTGTTACTTATTAAGGCTCCTATTTTTATTTCCTCTGTCTCTGCCTATCGACATACCTGCCTTTGTCTTCTCCTTTTGTACTATGAGCTACGGTGTGTTGCTGTGTGAAAGTGAGGCATGGGACTCACCATTTGCTTTGACTGATGAGTTGTGGTGATGACATTGATAACATTTTGTGTTCTGTTGCTTTCAAAGAATGTGTTTTTAACCTAATGACAAGGTAAACCATGAAACTTTTCAGGAAATAGATGTTCAAGATACGTATTGTTCCCAACACTTGAGTACTATGGATTCTGCATTAAGAATTTTGTTTGTTTTTGAATTGCTCTGCTCTTAATATTTTTGTTTCAGGCTAATTTATTTGGCCTTATAGTATTTCACAGTATAAAAGCATAATGATTTATTTCATGGCAGTAGAATGTAAACGCCTCGAGGGCAGGGGATTTATGCTTGTGCCTCTCACCGGTTCTTACGTAGGAAGTGCTTACTAAGCTTGTTGGATAGATGGAGAGTAAAAGCATTCAAAATTATATTTCAGGATTTTTCTTATAAGAACATCTTCAGATATGTTCAGTAGTTGCTGCGAAGTAAAAACCCACTTTTTTTCTTGCAAAGATGAAAAGCTTGAGTGTGTGTGTATATTCATTCTATTTTATTTTTCTTAGGCTCGACCGAATAGCCCTTCTACAGCATTAGTTTTTGGGGACCACCCTGTTGTACAACCAAAGCAGTTATCCTTTAAAATTACTCAGGTAATCAAAGATTAAAGTTTTTTCAATAAACCAACCACCAACTTTTCATTAGCAACTGAAATACCTACTGTTTGCTTTAGACATTGTCACCAGTTATGCATCAAGAAAGCTTGTTGCTGAACAAATCAAAATTTTAATTTACTTTCAGATTGTCCTTTGTTACCTGCTGGCAGTTAAGTAGGTCTTTTAAGTAAAGCACAAATCAAAAAAACATTATTTGCTCACCGATTCTTTTTGAAGTCAGCAGTATATGTGACTAATATCTTCATGAGGCTGCTAAATTTGTTGTAAGTGGACATTGAGGCAGTTAAGTTGAATACATGTGTATCCACTTGTGCTACAGTTTAGAAAACTAATTTTGAAATTGAATTATCTGATTATATTTTATAGTTATATTTAGTCCCATGAGTTTACAATGGAGGTACTAAGTTTTTCACTTTAACTTAAATTCATGTATGCATGAATTTGCCAGAATAGGGCTGGAGAAAATAGATGGTCCATCTCAGCTCTGAATCAGTTTCCAGTAATCAAAATTGTGGTGGGTTTGCTTCCTGACTGTTAGAAATGTTTCAGAACCTCTCCCTGGAAGATCTTGGAACTGGGATTGTGATGCATTTCTTGGAGTGATTGAGCAGCTCATGAATGGCTTTGCTGTGTGAGGTGTTGCTCAAAGTACACAGGACTTCAGTGCGAGAGGAGGAATAAGTTTAAGGGGGTCTTTGCACACCGTGATGATCACAATCATAATTTATTATGTATGTGAAAATGGCTGAGAGAATAGACCTTGGGCCTGGTGAGGTAGCTAAGTGGTGCTTGCCTTTCACATGCCGGGATCTTATATGAGCACCGGTTCATGTCACGGTGACCCCGTTTCCCATCAGGCTCCCTGCTTTGGGACCCTGCACCCATGTGGTATACCGAGAAGAAGCTCCAGCCATTGTGGTCATTTTTGGAGAGAACCAGCAGACAGAAGATCTTCCTCTCTGTCTCTCCTCCTCCAAGTGTTATCACAAAAAGTGCTGTGCTAATTGCTTGATTCAGCCATTCTACATGTGCATCAAAGTAGAAAGTATACATCAAAAATACAGTGTTTGCTTTCAGTTAAAGAAACTTTATAAAGGTTTTGTAAAGTTTAAGAATTAACTGAAGTAATGTATAGCTCTTCATTTTGATGAGGATAAATTTTCTGAAGAATTAATGTCTTAGATTTTTTTTTTTTTTTTGTAAATCTGTACTATTTTTATCCATTTATTAGAGCTTAGAACTGCATTAAAATTTTTGGGATAGGTTTTACATACATAGCACAAATACACATATATTTCTTTACCAAGTGAAATCTAGTTTTATTTAAAGTTTGTATGCAGCAAGGTTGATAATGGAGATAATAAAAAAATAACTTTGTTTCATTTAGACTGATCTGACAATGCTGAAATTAGCAGCATTAGAAAGTAATAAAAACCAGGACCTGGAAAAGAAGGAAGGTCGTATAGATGATTTGCTCAGGGTAAGTAAGAAGGTGCGGAGGGGAAGGCATTTGATAATGATTCAGATGTCCCTCAGGATATCCACGTCCTGTACCCAGAGTGCTTGAGTTCAAGTCCCAGTTTCACTTTCAATTCCAGCTTTCTGTTAACAAGCACAGTGGGAGGCAGCAGGCAGTGACTTTAAATGCTTGGGACCTATTTTCCATGGGCGTTTGGATGGAGTTCTTGGCTCTTCTTGACACCTGACCTAGCTCTGGCTGTTGAGGCATTAAGGTGAACCAGTGAATTGGAGGTCTCCTTGTGTGTCTCAGCTCTTTCTTCATCTTTCTGTCTGCCTCTCCATTAAGTTAATTAACTGCTAAAAAAAAAAAAGGAAATGGAAGGGAAAAAGTAAATTATTTGGCAGCAGTGTTAATGAAAAATTTGATAACTTGGTGAGGTGGGGACAACCTCTTCTGGCAGTGTAAGTACATGATTGGAAATACCAACTTCAACGTGAAAGTATCTCAGGGGCTGGTATTGTATAAGCTGCTCCCTCTGACAGTGACCTCCTGTATCGGGTGTCATTGGAGTCCTAGCTGCTCTCCTTCCGACCCAGCTTCCTGATAATACATCTTGGAAGGCAGTGTGGGTGCTGGCTGGTGCTTGGATTCCTGCTTCGCACATGGGAGAGCTCAACGGAGTTCCTGACTCCTCTTCAGCTGGTCCAGACCTAATTATGTAACTTACGGTGTCATCCATACATTTAACGGAGAAAATGTCTTTTTAGCTACAAAAATAGAAAACTTACCTTTATTTTTAGTGTTAGACATGCTATGTATCTACCATTTTAGGTTTTTCCAATGAAGTGTGAACTAGATGACGTTGATACTGTTTAGAAAATTGAAAACCAGACCTAGAACTAGATACCTTACTTAACTTAGTCAATGGTGTACACCTTAGCAGGCGCCAAACCACCTTTTTTTTTTTTTTTGCCAGTGGCCATTTGGATATTTACTACATCATTGTTGGGTAACACAGAAATATCCCCTTGAAAATGAGCCTGCTGTAGATGTATGAGTTTTGAGACTTGTTTCCAGATTCCTTCACAGGGCCAAACTGAGTGATTTACCTGGGCTTTCCTCATCCCCACCTCCGAGTGTGGGTTTCAGGGTCTAGACTATGGCTGTAGAATCCGTGTATAGAATATCACTACTCAGTGACATTATTCTATAGTAAAAAGGTTTTGTTTGCTTAGTATTATACTCAAATATTTAATCTTATTAATCATGTCGCTATTTTATTTATTCAGAATATTGGAAATATTCCTATGTTTTTCATATGAAAAATCCTACATCTTTTGTGTTTTCTACTTGTATCGTAGGCTAACTGTGATCTCAGACGGCAAATAGATGAACAACAAAAATTACTTGAAAAATACAAAGAACGATTAAATAAGTGCATATCAATGAGCAAGAAACTTCTTATTGAAAAGGTAGGTTAAAAGTTCAGTGAATGTTATCTTTCACTAACCCCCTTTGCCATTTGTGCTTTTACAGTGTAAATGAATAAAACTGATGTTTCTTTCTTCTTTTATTTTTTCAGAGTACACAAGAAAAACTATCAAGCAGAGAGAAGAGTATGCAAGATAGATTACGCCTTGGGCACTTTACCACAGTTAGACATGGCGCTTCATTTACTGAACAATGGACAGATGGTTTTGCATTTCAGAATCTTGTGAAGTTAGTCATTCTAATGTTTTGGAAATTTTAGTATATGAGTTGACCATTTTTCAAAGCCATGTTTAATTTTCTTGCTATTTCTTGTTTCCTTAAATTTTCATAACTCCCCTTTTATTCCTAGTTTTCTATTGTTAAGGTTAGTTTTTATTTCCTTTTAAAGTATCCCCACTTCATGTTCCCAAAATTTAAACACTTTTCATATTGAATTCATATTTAGTTTTGCAGATTTGCCATATAAGTGATGAGACTCTCTACTTTGTTAGCATTTTCTTTTTTTAGCTTATTTATTTCTCCAACCAATATTTCTTGAGCACTAGTACTGAACACTGGTGTAGTAGTGATGATAAATTAGATATACAATAGATAGTATCTTTGTTCTCAGGAGTGATATGGTGTAGCCAAACACATTCTGATCAAGTGTTTGAAGAAATTGTATTTGTTAGAGTGGAGGGGTGGAAAAATATAAGTTACCCTGATAATGTGTGGGCAACACATCTTTCACTGGGGGGTAGGGATTGAAGTATACCTCACTTAAAAATTTTCTCATGGGGGGACTTCCCAGTCTATACGAAATTGTACCACAAAATTCAAAAATTCAAAATTTAAAAAAAATGGTGCTGCAAAAAAAAAGTTTTTTTTTTCCACATGAACCCTAAAGGAGATATACAGGCTGGGTCACCAGTGTGGGACTGAAAAATTGCAAACTTGTACTATCAATGTTCATGTTTTTATTGTTTCCGTGTTCTCCATATTTCAGTTGTAAAAAAAAAAAAAATGGAAGGCTAATACGGTTGTTTGTTTTTTATCCAGGCAGCAAGAATGGGTGAATCAGCAAAGGGAAGAGATTGAGAGGCAAAGGAAGCTTCTAGCCAAACGCAAACCTCCCACGGCTAATAATTCCCAGGCACCATCTACCAATTCTGAACCGAAACAAAGGAAAAACAAAGCAGTCAATGGAGCAGAAAACGACCCTTTTGTTAGACCAAATTTACCACAACTGTAAGCCTCCATTTTAAAATTCTCTTTAAAAAAATGTCTATTACCGGTGAGGGTGGTGTTCATAATGATTGTAATTAAATTAGCAAAATGGAAGTACAGGTATGGCCAGGAAAGAAGGTAGTAGTGAAAGTATATGGATTCTACCTTTTTATGTGGAGACTTAAAAGTTCTCTTTCAGAATAATTACTTTTTTCAGGTTGGAATCAGTTGTGGAGTTAGTTAAGGTTTTGATTACTCCACTGTTCCCATTAATACTTATTTTTCTGGAAAAATGTTAACTGAGTATTGGGGGCTGACATGTAGCACTTTTTCCTCGAAGTTTAACTCATTGGTAGGTTACAGTTATGAGGTGCTTTTCATCTTCATCTTCTTTGTCTTCTAAATTTTCTGTGCTACTGAATTGGTCTTTATAATTCCAAGGAAAAGATCTGAAAAAGACAGTGTGATTATTGTAGAAAAATTTGAAATAATGAAAATAATACAGGCCATGAATTCATCCTTTAGAAAACAGTGTTATTTAAAATTTCATTGTGTAGGTGCATCCAAAGGTACATAGTTTTTCTGTTCTAGAAGGACTTACATAAATTATTTGAGTAGAAGATAAGTGCTATCGTGTGTAACCTCCACTGTTTTGTACACACTTTTTGCATTCTTTCCTCGTCTTGAACAGTCTCCTGTTGATGCCCATTCTGTCATACACCGTCAGTCCTTGGCTCTCTGCGCGTTCCCTCCTTGTAGAAAGCATACGTGAGCCAACACAGAGGGACTTCCAGTCAATTCTAAGTCCCTACGGCCGGTGCATTCTCTCTGCCCTCAAAACTGGGCTTTCTTAAAGGAGTTGACTGTGTATACAGGCTTTTCGTCCTCGCCCACATTCTCTGGTTTCCTAACAAATTGTTCTTGTAAAGGTAACCATCTTCTTGAATATCTTCACTTTTGGGTTTTTGACTTATTCGAAAGCCTTGAATATTACTGACATCTTCTAAAAAGACATTTTCTTGTCTTTGATTTTGAGATACTCCAGTATAGTTTATATTTTCATTCACCTGTGTGCATCCTCTCAATTTTTTCTGTACACATCGTTTACATTGCAGCCTTAAAGTATGGCTGATTGTAGCAATCTGTGCTGGGTCTTCTTACTCCCCACTCCACACTCTGTTCTCTGCTCTGGGGATTTCTGATACAGGACGCAGGTATCCCAGGAAGCATTTTAACTGCCGTACCAAGTGCCCACCCCAAGATTTTCATAAAGCACGATAGAAAAGTAAACAGTAAGGATTTACCATATATTTTATATTGTTGAAGTTTTAGAAGTCAGTAATTCTTCCATTAGTGCTTTAAATCAAAAATATATTTTATATAGCAGTTATTTCATGAATTGTTTATCTCTTATTAACAGGGTGTAATTGGATTTTTTAAGTCAATAAACTTTTGCCGTTAGAATAATTTGGGGTCACTGAAGAGCAAAAAGCACAGAGAGTTTCTGTGTACCCCTGTCCCATGCGTGCACAACTTTCCCCGCTTACCATCCTCCTGTACCCTGGGGCCCCTTTGTTACAATTGATGAAACTGTTAGTACATCATTATTAATGTACATTAGGATTCAGTCTTGTTGAGTGGACTGTGGGTTACTCAAATACATGCTTTCTTTTTTAAGATTTATTCATTTATTTATTGTAAAGTGAGATATAAAGAGAAGAGGAAAGACAGAGAGAAAGATCTGTCATCCTATGGCTCACTCCCCAAGTGGCCACAGGAGCCAGCAACAACTTCTCAGTCTCCCACACAGGGCACAGGGTGCCAAGGCTTTGGGGTTGTCCTCTACTGCTTTCCCAGGCCACAAACAGGGAGCTGGATGGGAAGCAGAGTGACCAGGATACAAACTGGTGCCCATATAGAATCCCAGCACGTGCAAGGTGAGGACTTCAGCCACTGAGCTCTTGTGCCAGGTCTAATAATTATATTCTTAAAAGATCATTGGGACTACAATGTTAGAAACCAGCTTAATAGGCCCGGTGTGATAGCCTGTCTGCTAAGTCCTCATCTTGCACTTGCCAGGATGGCCACTGGTTCGTGTCCTGGCTCTTCCACTTCCCATCCAGCTCCCTGCTTGTGGCCTAGAAAAGCAGTCGAGGACGGCCCAAAGCCTTGGGACCCTGCACCCGTGTGGGAGACCTGGAAGAAACTTCTAGCTCTGGCTGTTGTGGCCACTTGGAGAGTAATCAAACAGATGGCAAATCTTTCTGTGTCTCCTTCTCTCTGTAAATCTGCCTGTCCAATAAAAAATAAACAAACAAACCCGATTTAACAGGGAAGAAAGAGGATGCAGTTAATAGTTATAGTTGAATAGAATAGTGAAATGATTATATTTTGGGTAAGGCCAGTGGGAACCAAAAAATGTGAATGAGTTTCAAAAGTATTCACCCGCTAGACCTACAGTACTTGGTTGCTGAAGGATAGCTGGTGGCAGCTGGTACTCACTTATGATAAGCAATTTGAGCAGTTTTTCTAGAGACTTCATATCCCTTACATGCATTTAGACCTATTTATCCAGTGTAACTTTTTCTGCATAAAACATCCAACCGTGTTGAATATTGTCTATGTTCTTTTACATTTAAATGGTTTAAGAGATCTTTGTGTGGTAACATCTTTTTTAATGATAATCACAGTGTGTGGGTTCTGAGTGCCTTCTCACATTTAGCACAGAGTTTTACTCCCGTGTAAAGTCTCTGATGCTGTACATGGTGGATTTGTCAATAAAAGCCTTTCCATATGTGGTGCTCTTTCTTTTCTTTCTTTTTTTTTTTTTTTTTGTTAAGATTTATTTATTTTTATTACAAAGTCAGATATACAGAGAGGAGGATAGACGGGGATGATCTTCCATCTGATGATTCACTCCCCAGCAACCACAATGTCCAGTGCTGCCCTGATCCGAAGCCAGGAGCCCAGATGCTCTTCTGGGTCTCCCACATGGGTGCAGGGTCCCAAGGCTTTGGGCTGTTCTCAACTGCTTTCCCAGGCCACAAGCAGAGAGCTGGATGGAAAGTGGAGCTACTGGAGTTAGAACCAGCGCCCATATGGGATTGCGGCGCATTCAGGGCGAGGACTTTAGCCACTGGGTACAGCTCCAGGCCTGTGGTGCTCTTTTACTGGGTTTCTTTGAACTCTCACCTCTTAGGATCCTGGAGTATGGCTGAAGGTTTTGCCATGTTGCCTAGACTCTTGATTGACAGGATGTGTCCCTTGTACATTACTTACATTCATATCTTCTCTCCGTATGAATTTGCTGATAAGCCAGCTGAGAACTGTCCATAAATGCTTTTCCACATTGCTTACCTTCATAGTTTTCACCAGAACAAATTCTCAGATGAATACCAGGATGCATCCTGTGTCTAAAGGCTTACCTGGGTGCCTTACATTGTAAGCTTTCTCTCTGGTATACACTCTTGGATGACCCATGAATAATGATAGCTAAAGGCTTTCTCACAAGCATTGCTTTTATTAGATTTCTCTCCTGTGTGAATTCTCTGATGTGTGGCTGTGGAAAAGCAGTGGCAGAAAGATTTTCCTCACATAAGCATTTGAACACTTTGTCCCAATCAGTGCAATCAAAAGACTCCTCCAGATAGCGGGGCTTTTGAGATGAGGGTTATACCTGAAGGCTTTCCCACATTCACTGTATGTAGAGGGTAGAGATGCGAGGCATAAGATGAACCATCTCTGAAGGCTTTTCCACATTCCTTACATTCGTAGAATTTCTCATCAGTGTGAAGCTTCTGATAGCATCCCAGGTGTGCTGCTTGCCTAGGCAGAGGCCTTTACGTGTGTTCCTTATGTATAAGCAGTTTCTCTACTCTGTGCTCTGTGATGTTGAACCAGGTGATGACTCTGTTGAAGGCTTGTCAGTATTGCTTATATTCATGTGGTCTTTGACCAGCAGGAATTCTCTGGTGGACAGTGATGGATGAACTGTTGATGCAGGTCTTCTCTCAGAATACACAGGTGTCTAAGATGACTTTCCTCTGTTTCAGTTCCTTGGAGTTTTTAGAGAAGCTTCTTTTATTAGACTTGTGATCATAAATACCTTATTTTATATTATCCAGGTGGGAAAATTTCCCTGATGTGATGTGTTCTTTAACTATTTCCTTCTCTGTTAGTGATTGTCTTTTGTCCTGGTAAATGTCTCTTGAATGATCTGCCTCTTTAAAGGACTCACATTTCCAGTTTTTTCTGAAGTGGAGCACTCAAATCCGAAAGTTGTCATTCTCTGTATTAGCAACATACAGTCTGCGAGAACTGCTTCAGAGGTAATTATTGCATCTCATACGTAGTTTATCTTCCACATCCTTTTTGCCTTGCTCCGATCAAGAGATCATGTATAGCTTCGAAATGTCAAAACCCAGGGTTACCAGGTGCCTGTCATTTACCAGGATCACACTACTGTGTAAACGCCTCTGGGAAAGATTCTGCCATCACCGTTCGTCCTGGGAAAAGTCTGCTGCCACATCTTGGAGTGTCACCAAGTTCTTGGGTCCAGGTTTCTCTACTTCAGTAGTCCTTGTGTTTTCTTGGGGTTTATCTCTGGGAATGCAACACAGCCTTGTTTGGAAGCTGAGGGGAAGCATCTCAATTGGAACATGAGCACTACTTGCAGATGAAGTCATTGAGTATTTCAGAACAGGTCAACAGCATCAGCCTAGAGATTCATTTAAGGCCAGCAAATTCTAAGCAGGATGAAGGGAAAGAAAAGGGAACAAGAAAAAATCAGAAACTGCCAAGGGGAAAAAGGTAACATCGAAGTAAGCATTTAGAAATATTCCAGGCAAGCATCAACCAACGGAAGCTGAATTAAGTCAAATACAGTGAAGTTTAAGACAAGGAAAAATTGTAAATCAAGTTACTGTCTCAATACTTATACCTTACTGGTTTTTTTTTTTTTTGAAGATTTATTTATTTTTTTTACAAAGTCAGATATACAGAGAAGAAGATCTTCCATCTGA